GTTCGTGAGGATACGAGGGCAGGACGCCTTCGACATTATAAAGCTATGCAGGACACTTCAAGAAAACAAATGCTCACGAATCTTACGACCGCCCAAGTCGAACGAGCTTTGGCTCCTTGGAATGCCACGGCGCATTCCATAAAACGCGAAGCGTTGAGGCACGCTGCTCAAATTGTGGAGGCGTACAATTTGGATCCACACGTGATCTCGCAGTTGGCGATGCACGTCAATCCGTTCGACCTTCCCCAGAACACTGTTCGATACTTGGGGAAGTACACCACACTGCTGACCCAGGTGTCGTCGCTGGTCGCATTGATGTGAAGGGAGACATTGCGGAAGGGCAGGAACTCTGGATGAGAGCGGAGGAGCGTTTTTCCATGATTTTATCACAATCATGCCGCTACAATAACGAGACGCGCGACAAGGACGCGTCTGGCCACTCCACAAGATGAACACGCTGTCCCGCTACAGCAGGTCAACGTGCCCGTATTGAATCTAGAGTGGATTAAAAGTCGGTTGAACCGGCCATCTTGGAGAGGCTCATGCAAGTTTGGGGACTCGTCGGGCGGTCCCCTTTCCCTCCGTCTTCCTCCGGCAAAGCGCGCGAAGGCTCACGGAGGATTCCAGTCGCTGTCACGCGATCATTGAGGGAAGCGGGAATTATCGAGGACGCTTCGTCCACAATAACAAGCGGATGGATAATGCTTTTCTCTGTTGTGGAGGAGAATACCACCGGCTTACAACGACGACGGATCGCGTGGCCACGCGACAGGAACAGAGACGACCCTTACGAGGCTCATGCTCCTCTTTTGCACATTTCCCATTATTTGCCACCTGTGATGGCTGAGGCCGCTTCCTGCCTGGACTTAAAGGCATCCTTTTTTCAAGTCTCTTTACCGTGGGAGACTCGGCATCTCTTTCGATGCCGCGTGGAGGACGGCACGCTGGTGGAGCTGACACGGCTCCCAATGGGATGCAAGGCCGGCCCAGAAATTCTCCAGATTATTATTACTTCGGCAATTGCGCTGGTGACGACGGTGGCTCACCGCCTCTGGGCTGCACCTCCATTGGTGCGTATCGACGTATGGATCGATAATATACGCATTGCAGGGTCGAAAAGCGACGCGACATTGTGGGAAGCCCAATTGCTTCGTAATGCGGACGGCCGTCACGCATTCTTGGGGGAGGACCGCGAATCGGGCGCCACGCAGTACACCTTTCTGGGGGTGCAATTTGATCACACTCACCAGGCAGTATCTCTGAGTGACGAGTTTGTCCGCTCTGTATGCGCCGTGCCGGCGCTCAATTCTTCAACCAACGCGGAAATGAAGGTTACGGTGTCCCACTTTTTGTACGCGGCTGCCATTTTGTGCACGCGTTTATGTGACTACTACTTTTTTATCAAGGCAGCGCGACGACGATTGTCCGCACTTAAACGCGGATTGTGCTGGAGACATCCCCGGCGAACCTTCCGCCGTCAGCGGTTGTTTTGGGCGAGAGATTACGACACATCATCGAGAATAATCGTAAGCGAATCATCAAGCCCACGGAAAAGGCATCGGCCGCCATCATCACGGACGCGTTGCTCCATGGATAAGGGGCCGTTTTCATTTTAGATTCCGGCGACGTTAAAATTGACGGAGGGAAATGGAAGAGAAAGCGTTTCCTTATTATGCAGGCCGAGGCGTGTGCGGCGCGCTTAGCCTTATCGGCCTTTTCCGCCATCTTGCCATCCACCATGGACGTTTGGGTGGACAATACTTCGCTGCAAGGAGCGGCGAATAAAGGCAGCCCCAAATCACACGCCCTGATGTGGGAGCTGCGACGGATATATGAGTTTGTTGACTCTCGCGGAATACAGGCATCCTCTGCTTACGTGCGGTCTGCAGAAAACCCCGCAGACGGCATATCACGCGGTCGTGTGTTTACGCTTCAGGACTTGGCGAAGGGGTGGAACTTGCGAAGGGGAGCGGCGGGGTCTTGTGGCTGGAGGCCCCCAAAGTCTGCCAACTCGTAATATATATGTGTATCCTATCCGAATAGAACGAGCGGCCACGATTGTTGCTATCGGATGATGTATATATTTGTGCACTTAATTGGAGTTAAACATTGAGGATATGGTGAATCCATTCTTATTCCATTTATTCCCTCTTTATTTCTATCTTGTTTGTTTTCTACTATTGATAAATTCAGGATTTGGCCAGCGGCCCAGGTGAGTATATCCCTGTTTGCGTGTGTGAGCGAGAAAGCGGCGGTGGAAAAGAGGGCCTTGTGTGAACTACCCACGATGAGTGAGTTGGGTGAAATTCTTAACACAGCCCAGATTTCAAAACATTATAAAGTTATTCAGTTTCTGTTGTCACATGCGAATGTGGAGTACACTCTGACGCAGCTGGATTTTTTGATTCCACGGGGAGCCTCACTGCAACGCTTTCCGGAGGCGTGGCGAGAGTACATGGAGGCCGGACGCTGCGGCAATCAGTGTATTGAAGTGTTCCACCGCATCGTCGATGTCCCGGATGTCGGTGTGACGGATGACAGAGCGGTGAGGAATGTGCGGTCTAAAAAGGAGCTTGTTCTTGTCTGCCGACGACCAGAGTTGCATCGTCTTGAGGAGCTTGAAAGGTTGCTGCTGTCTCCTGCCAATGTCCCAGATAGAGAAGGATGCGTAGCTCTTCACACTAATCAAGTAATCTTACAGGAGAAGCTTCTAAAGGAGTCCCAACAACGGGGTCTGCTTTATTACCTTCCAGATCACTACATGAAAGCTTACGAGTGCCGATTAGTTAAAGGGCTTCGAAGCCCCTTTAAAAGGGGCGAATCGCTGAACGTGTTTCTTTGCGATGATGAGGCTGATGCTGTTCTGGGCGCGGATGGCACAGCAGGGCAGTTGGAACTTCCCGTTGGTGTGGTGGCTCAGTCAATGTTGTACACACGTCGTGGGGTGCCGGTGCGAGGTAAAAACAGCATTCCTACTTGCCTCCATGTGGGCGAGCGCGTCTTGGTGATATTCGACCGGGTTTTGTCTCCGAGTCATGACTCTTCCATGTCTTTTGAGGCCCCGGCTTTGAGAGTCTCACTAGGTAAACCCAGGAAAAACTTGGACGGTGCTCTGCCTGTTGACGTGCGTGTGAAAGCGTCCAGGAGAACAGGTGGGAATCAAAGGAGTTTCATGGACGTACGGGCCCAGGCCAAGGGAAACGTGGCAGTCTCCGTATTTGTGGATGAAATGGAAACGATTGTTCCCGTGGAAGTCATTGACGAGGTTACGTCAATGCCGGGTGTGATGATTGGGAGAGAAGCGCTACCTGCGCTCCCGGTACCTGATGGCATTTGTATTCATGACCCTGCATTGTGGGGTGGCAGGATCGCGGGGCAGGGCGGGGAAGGCGAGGAGTTTAGGGGAGAAGGGAGAAAATTGGCGGGGACGGTGCTCGCGTGGTGGTTGAATCCCTCCCCTGCGGTTCTTAAGGTACGCGATCTTACGATTCCTGATAGCGAGACGATGAGTGCCGCCTCACGAGCCGTGTGGATTCCACACCAAAAGGACGAGGCTGCATTGAGGGTTGTAAGGAAAACGCTACAGGAGCAGCATGCCGCGGAGGTGGCAAGAAGGATTCGTCGCAAACGGAACCGAAACCGTGAATTACGGAATTGCCACATGGTTCACTTTGGATTCGACGCCTCTGTGCCCTTTGGCGGGGAGATGCAGGACCGCTAAGCATCCGATTAGAGTGTTTGTTTGTCTGTCGTTGAAGCGTACTCGTTAAATAGGGAGGAAGAGCCCGTTCGTGCATTCACCCGTCATTTTTTGTTTTTGTTGTTGTTGTTGTTGTTTTGTGTATGTGCTCTCCCCGTTCTCGTTTTGTGCATGTGTGGTTCTTGAATGGAGCACAGTAATCTTTTTTGTTGTTGTTGTTTTAAGGTACAGAAGTAAACGGGGTGAGACGGCGACTGATAGCGTCACAGGGTGAAAGGGCAGTACTCTCTGTGGAATGCAATGCCGCGGGGGGAACAGCACCGGGAGCGGAGGGCTGAAGGGGTCTTTCCTACCACTCGGAGCCTATCGCCGTGTTCCTCGTGAAGCCACAAGTCTTTGGAAGACTACGATGGACACTGCTAAGGAGCAAGTTGCTGTTGTCTGGGAAACTGTTTCGTCATGGGAAGGAAGTGAAGTGACGAGCAGTGACTCATGTGCTTCAGGCATTAATGATCCTTCTCTAGAAGACGTGGGCTTGTGGGAAGAACATCTCCAAATCCGCATGGAACTTATACGGCGGTTGAACCCTTTCCGTCAAGGTCCCCCTGTCGGTGGCGCGGCGCATATGACGGCTTCAGCGGAGCGAAACGGAATGACGGGTACAAAATTGGGAAGTATTCGGACTCAACGGGCATGTGGCTCCGTTACTTATGGAGAATGCGTTGGGGAGGACATACTATTCCCCAATCACGAGAATCTGTGCACCGCGCCCAAGACGCCGCAAACGTATCAGAAGGTGAGAAGGAATCCTTGTGAATGCACATGCAGGGTGAGGCGTCTTGCACCTGCGGAGTGGTCAGAGTTACTGCGGTTGGGGAGTGAGGACGTGGTCGAACTGTAATGTTCTCGACTCTCTCTTTTCTTCTTTTCCTCACTTTGTTGCCTTATTGGTGTATGCCTTTTGTTTGTTTGTTTATTTCCTGGCGTTGACGTTGATGCATCTATTTATTTCTTGTGCTTGAGGTGCAGTGGTGTGAAAAAGTTGTTGTTTTATATATTTGGTTTATTTACTTTCTCTTTTTTATCTCTTGCACGCGCGTTTCTCCGATCTAAAAAAAAAACGAATGGCAGTACATTTGTAGATTTCTGTTCTCATAAAAGGACGAGGGGCCCTCCTCTCCTTTTTTTTTTTGTTGCTGTCCTCTCCCTTTTGTCGCACGACTAGTGGCAGCACCGCGGCGGACTGGCTGAGTTCCCTTGCGACTGCCACCCTTTTTTACTTTGAGTTGGCGTTTAGACGATGAAAGGCTCACTTTCCTCGTACGAGAAGGATCTTCCGAGCGATCTTCTTGAGCTGATTGATCACACAACACGAGGGGTGCAGCGTCTGTACGAAACGACGCGGCGCAGGGAAACTTTGGGTGAGTCGAGAGAGCGGAAGGCGTTTGTAGATGATGGACGCGCAAGCGCATGTGGTGTGCAACACACAGAGGAATTGGCAGGGACGGCACGAGCAGGCGGTGGCGTAGCCGTTCCGCCTGTCATGGGAAAAAAGAGGACAGCCGGATTATCATCATCCTTGTTGCCACGCACAACGACAGCAGCGGTACACGAGGACAGGCCGCCACATTACTGTTATCAAAGTGAAAACGGGAGGCCGCTTCAAAAACACCGCCGTGAACCGAATAATAAAGACACGAGTGCGGAGAGCAGCGGGACAAACGGGGCGCGGCGGTGGCCGTGGAGTCGTGTGCAGACGTTATCGATGGGCGTTGCTGCGGATGGGCGTTCTGGCACCTCCACAACTAATACGACGCTGTCATCGGATGCCCCATCTCGTACGCTTTTAGCCCATTCGACGCAAGGAGCAGCAAGAAGCGGCCAAAACGTCTCGGTAAAAGGCACCGTGAACACTTCTACCACCGGTACGGAGGATAATAATGCCTCTCAGATTGGCCAACGGTGGAAAGACACATTTAGGTCTCTTCTCTCCGGTGCGGCGGCAAATAATACGAATACCCCAACACCAGCGGCCACTGAGGCTTCTGCCGCACCATACGAAAACACGCACACGGAGCAAAGAGGGCCGGTGACGAATCTCCCGCATGAAACCTCGCTGTCACTGGAGGCCACAGAGACAAGAAGACAGCATGACGCTCATGCATTCATATCGACACAAACGAGCGCGGCTTTGGAACGTTTGCGGCGCCAGTTGGCGGAACAGGAAGCATCCCACCGTGAGGAACTTTCGCGTATCCGCATGGAGCACAATCGGGAACTTTCCCAGCTTCGTCACGAGGCCTTGGAGACGCGGCAGAAATCTGAAGAGGAGGTCACAACGCAACTTCAGGCATCCTTTAACGTGAAGCAGAAGTTGCTTCAGGTCGCAGTTGAGGAAGAGCGGTTGCGGGCGGATGAAGCGCGAAAGACAGTGGAAGAAAGGGAGAAGGCTATTGAGAAACTAAAAGTAGAGTTGGAGGCTGCCACTTCCCAGCGCCAATCTTTGCAGGGCGATGTGGACGCAAAGAAGAGGCAATTGGCAGATCTACGTGAGTCTTTGAAGGGTACACGAAAGCGGCTGGCCGAGCTGGAAGAAGAATTGGCGAAGCGCAAAGGAGATCTGGTGGAGAGCAGGCAGCGTGAGAAAATGATGACGATGCGTGAGAAGGATGCGTTGGATTTGGTGAGCCGTTTGGAATTACAGCTGCGGGAGCAGGACCAGCGCTCACGGGAGGAACTTCGCCGGCTGGAAGCGGAGTTCCATCTAACCACTAAGAGCTATCAGGATCTGATTGGTGAGGCAACCGAAAAATTAACTGCACTGGAGAAGGTGGAGCGAAAGTACCATGCGCTGAAGGAACAGCGCCGGCAGCAGAAGGAACAACAGGAGGAATTGGCATTAAAGTTGACTTCCGTGCAGGAGGATAAAAAACACTTGACCGAGCGTCTGGAATTCCTGCAGCAGGAGCTGGAACAACTCCGCCTTCAGATTGCACGGAAGGAACACGAAATGCGTGAGGAACGTGCAGGGCATCAAAAAATTGTGGAGGGCATCACACAACAACTGCAAGAGGAAGAGCACAAATATTGTCGTGAAGTCGAAGCGCTGCAACAGGCCTTACGTCATGCAGAGGACCGCACGGTGCGTCTGGAACGCGAGGTGGAGGGTTTAAGTGAACAGCTGAAAGAGGAGCAGGCGCACAGCAAGCAACTGCTGTTGAAAATGGAGCAAAGCGCGCTGCGGCACCAGGAGGACCTTTCCAGTACACGTCGTGCGGCATCTGCACACCAGCAGCAGACGGAAAGTGTGCTGTCCAGCTTGAGACGGCAGCTGCGTGAGAAGGACGCGAAGTTAGAGGCGCTTGCCACGACGGCATCGGAGCCTATTCAGCGGCTACGCAATCAACTTGAAGACGAGCGCAGCAAGCGAGCCCACCTTGAGGAGCAATTTAATCGGTACAAACAAAGGGCGAAGGTGGCGAAGGAAGCCGCACTACGCGAGATTCGGCGGGAGCAGCAGCGCGCGCCCTTTGCCCCGCGTTCTCTGAGTCGAACATCTGCTCCGCCGCCCTCCACATCTCCTTCATACGATGGAGGAAAGGGCTTTCTTGGGGCTGAGCCTTATACTGTACAGGTTTCTGAAACAACAACACCAAAAGATCAACGTGTGCCAAAGGCAGTTTTGCCGCTCCCCCCACACTCATACGAGCGCTTAAGGGAAAGGAGTGCCACGACACCACAAAGCTCCAAAATGGCTCAAACAGGATGGGACTCTGTAGGATCTATTTCTAATATCTCTCGAAGCTCACCCTTGTGTAGTAGCCGAGGTGAGGTGATTGAGACCGTAGATCCCCCGTCGGGAGACACTGGCAATCGCTGGGATGCCACGCAAACAACGCTTCCTACTTCATCTCAGCCACCTCAGCTAGATAATATAGACGAAAGGGTTCTGCAGCACGAACAAATTCTTCGCGATTTTCATCAATCTGCGGCGGAGGTGTTTCGGAAAATCACATGCAACCGCGACGAATTCCTCGAAAAATGTACCTCCGTAGTGCGTTCTGTATCGCACCGTGGTGGCGATGGTGAGCGCTTTGTTTCCAGTACAACCCATCAGGGCTTGTTGAGTTGATAAATAGCCGTTATTTGTAAAAATGAGGTGGTGGTGGGAAGTTTCCCTGCGGGGAAGGGGGGGGGGGTGCATATGTGCATACGAGGGTGCATACATAAGATGATGGCTGAGAGTATTTATGTTTGATAAGCTCTCATTGAGCTTCATTATTTTTAAGCAGTATTGGATAATTTCATAATGAAGGAAACTACATGACCTCTCATTGAAGGTAGTTGTCTTTTTTTGTTGTCGTTGTTGTTGTTGTTCTTGTATCAGTCATATATATATATATACTTATTTATTTATTTTTCATGCTAAACGAGAGTAAGGGCAAAAGGGGAAGGAGGAGGAGGAGGAGGAGGAGGAGAGAACTGAACAATTCTCTCTTTTCTTTTTGTATTTTGTGTGTGTGTGTGTCGGCAGCGAATTTTCTCACCCCATAGACAAAACTAAGGTTTAGCGTGCAATTGGAGCAGCGTGTTGTACAATGTATGCATGGCCTATGATCTGCCGCATTGGGGGCTTGTCAGGGAGTGCGTGTGTGGGCATGTGGGTGTTCAAGGGACGCCATTGCGAGCATCATGCCCGTGTTTTTTCAGTTCTCCTTTTCAAATGTTTTTTTCTTTCTGTTTTGGTGAGAGGAGTGTAAAGTGTTGAGGTGACGTTTCTGTGCATTTGGCGAGGGGAAGCGGCTAGCAATAATAAAGGGCAACGCCCACGAAGAAGGAGGAGGAGGAGGCATTCGGACGACGCATGTTTGGTGGGTCGAAAGGGCGCAAGGGTGGAAAGCACGTGAGGTCCGCGAAGAAAGAGACCTCCGCCGCCTCCACGGAGAGGCATCCGAAGAAAGTGCACAGGATTAGCACGGATCCAACGAAAAAGAGCCACAATGGCAGTACCCTGAAAGGACCCGTTGTGTCACATTCGGGTGGGAACGCCAGTCGGGACTTTGCAAACGATCGCCAGCACATCCCATTCAAAAACAAACTGGAGGAGCGGGCTTACAAAAAGGCCAATCGCATCCCACTTTACACCCCTGCTCCAGGAGGGAAAAAAGGCGATAGTGACGCCACGGCCAAACGATCCAGCGGTGCCAGTAGCGCTGCCCAACGCCGTGCCATCATGAAGGCAAAAGGCGATGACGCCGTCTTAGAACACTTTCGCACAAAACTCTCGTCGAGTACGTTTCGCTTGTTAAATGAACAAATTTATAACTCCCCCGTGGCCTTTGCTAGTCAACTCTTGCGTGACCCATCCACGTACGCAGATTACCACAATGGATACCGTCAGCAACTTGAGCAATGGCCATTAAAACCAAGTCAAGTTGTTGTGGATGCACTTTTGGGGGACCGACGTGGTCGTTTTCTTGCAAATAAGGCAAAAAGTATGCCGGGATATATCCCCACAGGCTGGGTTATTGCAGACATGGGGTGTGGTGATGCGCAAATCGCCCAGGCGATGCGACCCAAGGGGTACACTGTTCACTCCTTTGACTTCTGTGCAGTGAATGATTATGTGACGGTAGCCAATGCAACCAATGTGCCTTTGGACAACAATACTGTTGACATTTGCATTTTTTCACTCAGCCTCATGTCAACAGACTACGTAGAATGCCTTTATGAGGCTTTCCGTGTGCTGAAGCCGAAGCGTCTTTTAAAAATCATTGAAGTGCGTTCTCGTGTTCCACATCCAAAACGGTTTTCTGAACTTGTGGAGAGTATTGGTTTCTATTTGGACTATTACGACACCGTGGAGAAATATTTTGTGGCATATGATTTTATTAAGCGCGAAGATCAGGCTGAGGCAAATCGTGGCGTGAAGCACGATCCGCGGGAAGTGTTGGTGGCATCACTTTACAAGAAGCGATGATTGAATCTCATAAATATAAAAGTAATTATTACAATCATTTCTTCTTTTCCTTTGTTTGGTGTTAATCTGCATGTCTCCCAGCAACACATAAAAAGAAGAGGATTTCCTATTTTGTGTGTGTGTGTGTGTGTGTGTGTGTGCTTATTATAATAAAATAAATCTTCTGCTTTTCATTTTTTTTTCCGTGTTTATAATCTCATTTTATTCCTCCATCTGTCTTTTTTTCTTGTGTCTGCCCCTCTGTGCGTGTTTGGTCGCACATGCCGGTGGGTGCGGTATATATATAATGTTAATTTTGTATACGCGTACTGGGCAATAAGTGAAGTGTTCGCGGATGGGCCGGCGCTCTAGACGTTTTGCCGCACGGGTGGCTGCTGTGGGAGTGGCGTTTGTCTCCAGTTGGGCGTTGTACCACCGCTGGCAGCTGCGGCGCAGCGCTGTCGTTTTGTTGCCTGTGGATACGACGATGAACATGCCACAATCCCACGCCATGAGACTACAGTTACTTGGGAGTAGCACTAAGAAGGAGCCGTTTGATGTACTTGTTATTGGCGGCGGCGCGACGGGGCTGTACACCGCCGTGGATGCTGCTCAGCGTGGGCTGCGCGTCGCTCTGGTGGATGCCGATGACTTTGGCGCCGGCCACACAGGAACGTCGCCGCCGCTTATTCCCGGTGCATTTTCATATATTCAGCGAGCATTGCGTCAACGTGATTTAGTTTGGCTCCGTCGTGGTGTGGAGGCATGGCGGGCGTTAACTGTGTGGTCAAATGTGGCACCAGGGCTTCTTGAGAATGGCGTCTCCACCCTTGTTTTATCGTGTCATTTATTAGAATTGATGGAATTAACAACAGCCGCCGTTATCGCAACACTGTTAAGTGCGTTTTCAGGTGACTGGAGGCCATTTAGGTTTGTGCGAGGCAATGTGTTGCGGAAGGAGCTTCAGGAAGCAGGAAAAGGTATGCGAGGAGGTATTCTTGTAGAGGATGCCTTTTTAGACGGCAACGCGGCCTCCATTGCGCTTGCTCGCACTGCTGAGGCGTTGGGTGCGGTGGTACTCAACTACGCGTCTGTAACGAGCATCACAAACGTGGAAACAACAGCGGAGTTGAAGGGTCAGGCGAACTTTGCTGTTATTGTAAACGATGTGAGTACGCCAAGCGGCGTGGGTGAGTTAGCCCCACGAGCTGTTACAGTGTACACGCGCAGCATAGCGAATTGCGCGGGTTCTTGGGTTGATGAAGTAAAGCAGCTGGTGCCAGGAAATGCGATGGATGCGGTGCCGAGTGCTGTGAAAAGGCATCAAGTGAGGTCCTACCTCGTACTGCCTCGAACCGCGGTGCAGACTGCCACACCGAACAATGCGGATCTTCTTTTTGGTGCCGATGCATTTTCCGTGGCACCGACGTCTCACAGCTTCTCTTCTGTCATGATGTTGCCATGGTTTGATGGTTGTGTATTAATTGGCCCGAGCCTCTCTTCCTTGTTCCGACTTCCTAGCAAAAGCTATGCCGTGGCACCAACGACCGTATTGACGCTGGCTGGCACGAAAAATAATAATGGTTGTAATATTCACGATGTGTACATAAGCCAACGGAAACATCTTTTCCGCGCTTTACAAGTCTCTGGCGTAAAAGTGGATGAGGAGCGTGTCTTGTCTTGTCTCTCCTCCATTGTGCCAATTATTGCATCTCCCCCACATGTTCCTTTGGCAAAGGACATCTTTATGGAGGGCTGCCACATCAGCTCGGGGAAGGAGCAGCCAAACGTTGTGCATGTGTACGGAGGGACGTTAGGTTTTGCTAGAGACATTGCGGAGAAGGCTTTGGACCGACTGCTGCATGATAGCGGTGCATTTTCAACAGCGGAAACAGCCGCACTGAGGCCATGCCAGACGTCTCGTCTGGCATTAGTTGGAGCGCAGTCAAGGGATGCCACCAGCGATGTTGTCTCGCCAGTGAAACGTATACAGAGGATTGTGCGTGAAGAGTACGCGGCACGTCTGCTAGACATTGTTGCGCGGCGGAAACACACCGCATACAGTAGCCCCGCTGAGGCGTTGGCAGCTCTTCCCGCCATTGCAGAGATCATGAGGTGCGAATTAGGGTGGACTGCGGAGCGAACGAAAGTGGAGTTGGAAGTGACAAAAGCCTTCATCCGGAGTATCAGTTTTGCGTGATGGGCTCGCGTTAGACGTGAGGACCGCTTGTGATAATTTAATTGGTTGTGTTTGTGTTTGTGTTTGTGTTTGTGGGGCCATGAATTGTCGTGGGTGTAAGTTTTGTTGTTGTTGTTTTTGTTTTTGTTTCTCTCTGCATCCTCATGTCTCTGCACTCGAGTGGTGGACGTTGCGGCGCTGCACGGTTTTAAAGCCCACTTTTGCCCTCATTGATTCCTCCCATCCCACACCCTTTTTAAGAAGGAAACACCAAGGCGTTAGCCGACACGTATGTTGAGGGAGTTTTGTTTCCGCAATGCCGCCTTGTTTCATGAGCATTACAAGGTGCGCTATATCCCTCGTGGTTTGGGCTCGTGGCTATTCTACATTCTTTGCCTCCTTGCTATTCTAGTGGCGCCGGTGTTCATTGGGTTGGCGATGAGAAACTTCTGGTTGAGGAGTAATTCCTTCATGCAGATGCCGCATGTTTATTTTACGAACCGCTGCGTCCTGCGCTACACCACCGTTAAGGGACAGGAGAAGCTTTGGACCTGCTCAAACGAATTTAACGAAAAACATATTAACGTTCAGGAGCAATTGGCGGTGCTGCCATTCTTCTCCATCTACGAAGACGACCGTGACGGCGACGGTCGTGTGGACTTCGTGACAATGATTCTCAGTTTGCCCATCAACGACGTGGGCGACATCGAGAAGGACGTGACACCTTCTGACATGGGGGACGCTGTTTTTCAGGTAGATTTCCTTCCCGAGTTCTTCTATGAGTTTGATCATCACATCGTCACGCTCAAGATGAGGACGGCGGCACTCTTTAGCTTTAAACGTGACCATTGGATACCCGGAACCGAGGGGGGACCACTTTCTGCCATTACAGAGGGTGACCTGCTATTCCACTCGACAGAACCACTTATAGCCTCCCCGAATGTCCGTTACACGAGGACGTACATCGATAGCCCCTTTGATAACGTCACGGATGTGGATGAACTGCTTAACGTGCCTCTATTTGCCAGTCAATACACCCTGCGGAACCAGTCGTTGCAGTTTAAACCCAAATTGGAGACCGTTGGAGGACTTGCTTTACTACGGGATGAAAACTACAACCGTGTGCTCGGCGAGGATTTAGACGCTTTAGGTGCTTTCACCTGGCGTATTAAACTACACATTCAACGTGCGGAGGTGAATTACGTCCCGTCGATCCAAGAAGCCTTAAAATGGGCATGGGTGCAGTACTTCTGTATTGCCTACGTCCTTCAACGGCTACTTTGGTGGCTGCGTGGTATTCTTGTAAAGACGGGTGTGTTGGGCAGTACAGCCTTTTTTCATCGCGGCTGGAAGTCCAGCTAGTCTCTCTCTCTCTCTCTGTCCGTGTACATCTCTGTGCTCGCAGTGGAGGTGGGGAGTGTAGAAGATGGTTTGCATGACAATCTCCAAGGAAAGCAAAAGAAAGACACATAGAGATATTTTTCTCTTTTTCTTTTTGTATTTGTTGTTATTCCTTTTTTTCTTTTCTTTTGCTCCCTCTCAAAACTCTACACTTGTTGTTGTTGTTGTTTTTTCCTTTAATGCGTGCCTAAGTCTTTCTCCGAGCATTTTTGTGTTTAATTATTAATATTGGCTTCTTGTCGCCTCTCTCTCTCTCTCTGTTTCTCTCTATTTGTGTTTGCTGAGGCAAATTCCCGCGGCAAAGCATCTCGACTCATCCTTCCATCCGTGTGGGAGGTTGTCTGTGAGGAGCGGGAAAAGGACTGCAAGAGAGCGAGAACGAGAGATGGCGGTGGTAGTGGTGCAAGTAGGACAGTGCGGCAACCAGCTGGGCGATGAACTCTGGCGGCAGCTGAAACTGACGACAAACTCGGGTGCGTTGCCTTCGCCCTTTTTTACGCGTGATCGCAGGGCGCGCTGCGTGCTTGTAGACTCCGAGCCCAAAGTAGTCACAGCGGTGTATGAGCGTCAAAAAGACGTTTTGCGTGCAGAGAATGTCATCCACGGTCAGTCCGGACGCGGCAATCATTGGGCGCTTGGATATTACGGCGTGGACGATCCACTGAGCCACCGGGCTGCGGAAAATGCCGTTGTGGCACGGCCGTTTCAGGTGGTGAAGGACCAGCGGCGTTGTGACAGTCATGTTGTCCGGAATGCCCTTCGCGCAATTCATGCCGAAACGCGTCGGACAGATGATGCGATGGAGTTTGAGGCTATTATCGTACTGCATAGTCTTGTGGGCGGAACAGGCAGCGGCATGGCCACTCGACTGCTGGAAAAAATCCGTTACTACTTTATCGAGCCTGTGGACAGTTCCCTGACGGTGGATGAGTGCGAGGAGGCAGAAATGATGCGGCACGACGGGCTAGATGGAATGATGATGGAGAAGCGGCGTGCATCTTACCTTGTCAGTATCACTGTGGCACCCCAGGCCGTTGGTGAACTCTCCACGCAGGGCCTGAACGCCGCACTCACGCTACATGCCTTACAAGAGAATGCGAATGCTGTTCTATTGTTACGCAATGACGATTGTATTCGTGTACAGGAGGATTCTTGCGCCGGAGGAAGGCCTCGTGGTCGAGGCAACACGTCGTTTTCCACCCCTTCCTTCTCTTCTATCCCGTCGTGTGCAACCTTCAAGGAGATTAACGAGGTTTTTTTGACGATGTTGCTCCCGATCCTGCTATACGGCCGAAGTACAAATGCCGTGGGGGAACTTGTACTGAAGTGCTCCCCCAATCCTCGGGAAATCAACAACATTTTGACCATTTTGCCCACTCCACAGAGGCACTACTTGCGTTTTAAAGAGTCTGCGACAGTTTCACGCCTTTACGTCCTTCGCGGGGCCAAGCAAAGCATGCCTGGGGTATACCCTAGTGTCCCGATAGAACTGATACACACCGCGCGTTCCCTGCGGAACCCCAATTTGGTGACTTCTAGAGAAGAGGTGCAAGTGCCGAAGGAATTACTGAAGGGCCTGAAAGAGACCGCGGCAACTCGGCGCTCCGTCTCGGTGGCTCTCCTTCAGCAGATGGAAGGGGTTCTTGTGTTAAATGAAGCACGTGAACTGAATGCGGCAGTTTTGTTTCGCTTATTGCGGTCAGCTGCAATGAAAGTCAAGGCGGGAGCTTTTTTGTCAACATTTGAGGACATGGGAATGACGGCGGAGTGCATACAGGCAGCAATACGGGAGGTTGCTACAAGACTCTCTGCAGCGGAGGAGATTTGATGGACGATGACACATTATTATTATTATTTACTTTTGTCATCGACATATTGTTTGGCTTCTTTCATGGATTTCACTTTGGTCTCTTCCCCACACAACCCAACGCGGCACCGCCCCTTTCGATCAGTTCTGCAACCATAAATGAGGGCATTTGTGTATGCGCTTGTAAAAAATACTTTTTTGCCCCTGTTACGCTTGCGCCGCCGCTGATATGTTGCGTATCTGTGTAAGTTTACTTTTCTTTTTTTTTTTTTTTTTTTATTGGAGGAGGGTATTTAAGGCGTCTTTTTTCTTGTTTTCGTGCATTTGATCTTCTGTCTGTGTGTGTCTCCATGCAAGGATGCGCCGTGTGAACCTCTTTGCCCGTGGGGGTTTCTTTATTGGCACGCAGTGCCGCCGCGCGGTAATTTCGCCCGTCGACCGCATCAGCGGCGCCAATAGGCACAGTGCACCCCGCACATCCTATCAGTTTGCCGTTAGGGATGAAGAACGTGGCTTGTACGATCACGGCGTTACCCCCGACGCGCGAATTCTGATGGCGGAAGCGGAGGCGCAGTATAGGGCGAGTGCACACTGGCTTCATGCACCACCAGGTGGTGTGGCGCCCCCCGAGCTGCGCTTGGATAGTGACGGTGGGGCCGTCTCATGCATTGCCGCACCCTTCGCGGAAGAGTACGTGCCATCGCACAAGGAACGATACGCCCATCGTGGACATGTGGGAGAGCTCAGCATGCAGCGAGCGGCGGCGCCCAAATTTCTACTAAATGAGCATGCATCGTTGAACCTGCGAAAAGAACGCCAATTTTGCGAGTTGATGTCTTCTCCAATGCCGTCTCTTCAAAAGGCGATGGAATTGGAGCGTTTGCTACATGATTTTTACCTCCAGCGGCTAGCATTATCTTCCCGCAACGTCGAGGCCATCATCGCTTTGTGGGCACAGTGCAGCGTTGAGGAACGCCTGGCAGGCAGGGCTCAGGTGCCGCGTCTGACTTCATCTTCTTCTGCTGGGGAAACTCATGTGAATTCTGTGGCGGCAGTTGATGCGGTGCCGTTTTTGCCTGCAATGAAGCGACTGTACTTTCACGCCCGTCAGACACACGTTGCCCCCACACCGCTGGTCCTGGAGTGTCTCATGACGACGTTGGCCGCCGTTACTTCACCCGACAGCAGCGTTTTCCACTTCTCCAACCGCCTTCTCCTAGATGCCGATAAGTACGTTGTTCTGCCAACACGCACGACGTATGCTGCGTTTTTTACCATTTGTAGTCTTCACAACGCCATGTCCTTTGCAATGGCACGTTTCAAGGACGCTGTTGTTGAATTGCACATTTCTGTTGACGCTACCATGGCGACGGCATTGCTCAAGGGCCTCTGCCAGAATGGGTTAGTGGAGGAGGCACTTGCGCTGTTGGCTCGCATTGAGCACGTACCATTGGATGTACAATTCCTTAACGCCTCCATGGAGGTGCTTCTTCTTTCTGCACAGCCACAGGCTTGTTTTTCTGCCTTTGATGCCATGCAGTCCTGCCCTGTGCAGCCGAATTCAGAGACTTATGCGCTTCTTCTTCTTGCTTGTGAACGCTCGGGCCTTTGGTGCCGAACAACCGCCATACTCGCGGATATGCAAAAGCGTCGTGTGAGGGGAGACACCAAAACGCTTAATTTACTGTTGAAAGGCCTTCTCATGGAGCGACTGCATAGCTACGCCAAGCAGCTGTATGGAACAATGGTGAAAAAGAATGTGGAGGTATGGCCTGCCCTGGAATCTCAAATGAGACTCACAGGAAAGAATAGAAGGAAAGAGAAGAAGCCAAAGCAGCCCTCTCCAATGGCGTCATCCACTCAAACATCAGAGCCATGCTGACGTCTTTTTCTTTTTTTTTTTTCATTATTGAGAAGAGGAACGTCAAGAAGACAAAACACAAAATATGGCGACTGAAAAAAAAAAAAAAAAAAGAAAGAAAGAAAGAAGTAAAAAGCTATTGTTGTTGACGGGGATTAGTAATACATGCGGTGTCGATCACCCAAAGAAAGTGACATTGAATGCTTTGAAGAAGTGTTTTATTTACATGTGTAACGGTCCATGCGTATTCTTCTTTTTTTTCTTTCACTGCAATTCTTTTACTTCGTTTTTTCTTGCTTGTGCACGTGTGTAAAGTGTGTGTGTGTATATTTATATTGTAAGCATCTCTCTCTCTCTCTCTTTTTGTTCTTTTTTTGCTGGAGGGGAGGGGGGCTGTGGCAGCAGGATTGGGGTAAGGAAAGGCTTTTACACAACAGCCGGTCACCTTCATGCTCTCGTTTTCGGTCAAGGAGGAACAGAAGGATGTCAAGTCTTTGGAGGAAACTGGTATTGGCGATACCACAGAAAACGCGCGTGAAAGCATGACACTTTATACTTGTGCCAACTGCACCCGTGTTGTGGCCCTCACTCAGTCGTCGCAGCTCATGTGTACTCACTGCGTACATCGCACGGGCTCGTCCACTGTTTTTTACAAGCTACGCACACAGCCCACGACATACGACACAATTTAAAAAAGAGAATGAAGGAAGATTGTGACGATATTTTGGGATATATTTCTTGAATTATTTTGCTCTTTTTTTGTGTGTGTTTTCTTTTGTGTATGTGTGCGTTTGTGCGTTGTTGTTGTTGTTTTCGTACCATAAAGATGTTATTCGTGTCCCTATCCCTTCTTGCAGGCAGGCAGTTACTCTCCCACACATCGATTTTTCTCTGTCTGACCTCGCACAACGATTTATTTCTGTTATTTGTCGTTGGTTGTTTGTTTTCACTTTGGCTTTATTCCTTCTTTTTCTTTTTGTGTTTCTACTTTAGGTGTATTTAGCGATGATAAACAGGCTGCCAGCACAGCAGCAGCAGCAGACAAGCACGGATACTGGTCGAATGGTGTCTTTGCCTCAGTGTGTCTGTGCGAACTGCTTCTTGCCGCTGATGCTCCCACGGCCGGATGCGACGGGTACGCCATTTCAGTGCCCGCAGTGTCGTATGGCAGGGGTAGACATGAAAGTCCTGTATACAAGGCGTGCCTTTCCGGCAGAGCACAGTACGAACTGAGAGAGTTTGCGTCTTGTGTGTTTGTGATATAAGGCCGTCAGAACTTATATTTTTGTTTCTTTCTTTTTCTTTTCTCACAGTGCTGTCTTGGGCTTGTGGGACCCAAAAACGTGTTCCATTTGGATACATCTCGGTTAAGAGTGCAAAGATGCCAAGAAAGAAAAGAAAAACGAAAACAGAGGCAAATGGCGGGTGATCTGCTTGCTGACTAAACATGCCCACTTCTTCTACTCTTTTTTTGGGGGGAGCACCTTCGCATCTTTGGTTTTTTGTCTCTTTTCTTTTTTTCTGCTCTTGACTGTTTGGACAGCAGCAATGGCAATTCTTCCACATGGCTTTATTGAGGCCATTCACGCCTCACCGCTGCGGTGTGTGTTGTATGTCATGGGAGCCGGGAGTTCCGTCATCGCCCAACTCACCAGTGTCGCGGGATGCTCACGTACTCTTCTTGATGCTCGTGTGCCTTACGCGATGGCCGCCGCCTTGCAGATGTTGGATGACCGGCCACCAAAGATGGTTTCAGCGACAGTGGCGCGCCAGATGGCCCAACATGCATATCACCGCGCGGTTGAGTACAGTAATGGTGATGACGACGGAACGCTTGTTGGCATTGGATCCACCTCCGCTGTGCAAACAGATCGCATAAGACACGGTAAAGATTGCGCCTTTGTGGCAGCGTGGTCTCAGCGGCAGGTGGTGGAGTTTGCCATGGAACTGCCGGGGCATCTCGCACGCGCCGAGCAGGAGGAACAGGTGACATTGCTTCTGTTCAAAGCCCTGGCAGAGTGTGCAAAAGTGCCATTTGAAATATCGTTTGTGGTGGAGCCGAAGAGGCTTTCCTACATTTTGCCAGACTCTCCGCTAAGAAGCCTCCTTCAGGGTGAGATAAAGTTTCTTGTTTTCAATACTTATGGGGAGCTGCGTGCGGATTTTGTGCCATACGTGGCAGAGACGTCTTTTGCGGTAAAAACTGAAAATTCATGGAAAGCTTTATTGTTTCCAGGTTCATTTCGTCCGTTGCATTGGGGTCATACAGAGCTGGCGAGAGCGGCAGTGCGAGCGATGGCAACCATGAAAGGGAAATTAAATAGCAAAAGCACAGACATATCATCGCCGTCTTGGAATGTGCCCGATGCCAGCAATGTCCGGGTGACGTATGAGATTGCGGTGGACAATGCAGACAAAGGAATTATAGACTCTGATGTGGAGCTTAAGAAAAGGGTACAACAATTTTTACAGCGTGGGGCGCGTGTGGCTGTGACAAGGGCTCGTCTCTTCACAGAGAAGGCTCTGTTGTTTCCGGGACATGGATTTATCGTGGGGATAGACACTATGAAGCGTATTCTTGATCCAAAGTATTATGACAATTCAAGGGAAGCAATGCTACGTGCAATGCAATTTATTCGAGAGCAAGGCGGTTACTTTGTGGTTGCTGGCCGTGCTTCAGGTGGAAAGGACGCGGTGTGGGAAGACTTGACAAGCATTGAGGTGCCAGCGGAAGTGGAGTCAATGCTCATTTCCATTCGAAAAGAGGACTTTTGTGTGGATGTGAGCTCGACAATGTTGCGAGAACGGAGTAAATCCACATGCTAACACGCTCCATCGATTATTATATGTCTACTTCCTTTCATCAACTTTGGCTTTTCTTTTTGTTGTTGTTGCCTTGGACTCACATATTGTTGCTTTCATGAAAAGGGGCGATACATTCTTCCTTTTTCCTTTTCTTTTCTTGGCACGTGGAAACGGCAATAGGAGGCGGCAGTCGGGCTGCTCTTTTCACAAGTTTACATTCTCAGCGGTAGCAAAACGGAGCGGTAACGAGCGTGGAACGAAAAAGGGGGGTAGACGTCAATTATTATTATCATTATTATTATTAAAGGCACAAAGAGAGACTGAGCTGTGATGTTTGGGCGGACTGCCTTCCTTTTGCGGAAATATCGCCAAAAATCAAAGGCGCCGGACCTGAAGACAAGTTTCTCGAAGACCAGGAATTTCAAGAAAGCGGAGAAGATCGCCATTGAGACCGTTGATGGAGAAGTGGTAAAAGGACGCGGCAAACTGCGTCGGCGCAGCCACAGTGCCCTGAAGAAGGCAATTGGTGAGATGGAGCACCCTTCCATTTGGCTTTGGTACCCGTGGCGCATGAACCCAGAGCCGCCCACGCCAGGCATGCCACAGCGGCGTGCACTCAAGAACCTCCACGGCGCCGTGTTCACGGATTTAACGCCGGTGCAGAAGAAGCGGCAAGAACAGATGTTGTACGGCATAAACATTCCAGAAACAAGACAGATGAAGTTTGAGCAGGAGCACCCTCTCCTTGCATCTGCATTACGTCAGCTTGATGGCCAGCCGAAGGGTTTTCCGTTTTGGTACAAAAAATATCCCACGCGAAGACACGCGTACGGGAATCGTTTTAGCATCCCGGATGAGATGTTGGAGGGCTATGGTGAAGAAATGAAAAAGGCCCTCTCAAAGGAAATGATGTCGATTCAGGAAAAGCAATTTGCGCAGGAGGCCATGTACATGGAGCGATATGCAGAACACGACTTTGACACGACAAGCCCCGCGGTTTTGGCGGTGAAGCGCGCCCTTAAGTGCCGTGTGCTGCGCAACCACCTGCTAACGAATCCCCATAATAATATCATCAAGGCTGTACTAGCGAACACAGAAAAAAAACTGAGTCATGCACTTCGCAAACTGCGAAAAGTAGACTTTAAGAAGTATTGGGAAATCATCCGTGATCATGATGTACAGGATGTTCTTCAGCCCTCCAATTTGGTTACGTACCGGCAAGGTGCGTACTGGAAATATGACTGGAATGCAGGCTTAGCCATATCCACGAACCTCGCAGATGTTCTTGACCCTCGTGGACTCAACGGCTGCGTCGAAACGGGCCGCTCCCGCTCTGAAGTTGCCCGTGACCTCGGTCTTTCGTACACGAGACCTTTACAGGAAAATGAGAAGAAGCAGCTTTCGCATCAAGCGTTGTACTATGAACGTTTGGCAAAGTTTAAGATGGAGCAACCAGAGGCAGCGCGAGCATTGGAGCGCGAACGATTTGTGCGGAAGTTTTCCGGCATGTTTGCGAAGATGGATATTAAGTCTGGCGCCCCTGACTTTCCGAGTACATACCGAAAACTTCTTGGGACGAAGGTGGTACGTTGGGCCTCAAAGCGACATGGACCCGCATAAGTGGTGTGTTTTTCCGTTGACTGTTTGTGTGTTGTTGTTTTTTCATACATTCATTGAGGGAGAAGGGGAAAAAAACAACAGAAAGAGGCACCTGTGTGTGTGTGTGTGTGTAAATGCCCTTGCTCTCAGTCACGGATGGATGAGTACTGAGCTCAAATGTGAGAGGGAGGGTGGGTGGGAGGTTTTGTTGCTGTTGTTTTTAGTTAAATTTTCCCACTATACCTTGTCACGTTTTTTCTTATTTAAATGCATTACTGCCGTCTGCTCATTTTTTTGCTTGTTTGTTTTCCTTTGCTTTATTATTCTTTATGGCGTGTTTTCTTCCTCTCTTTTTTTTTTCTTTTCTGTGCCTGTGTTTTGTTTACGCGGCGACGAGTGGGGCTGCGTGTTCCGCGGTGTTGTGCAGCAGGAAAGGGAACGCACCGTCAACGATGTCGATGACAGTACCGGAGGTGATACTCGTGGGCCAAAAGACGCGGTACCGACACTTTGCTCGGGGCCCTCGAGATTTATACGCCCCAGAGGAGATGCTGCCAGACCCACCGCCGCAGCACGTGTGGAGCTACTGCGTGTCGAGGGAGCACAACAACACGGTGTATTTTCACAACGACGCAACCGGGAGGTCATTGTGGGTGCTGCCGTCCCTCGCATCCGACGGCACAGAGGCAGGCGGTGGCGCGGAGGAAGTCATGCGGACCGTCGGCTCCGTCGAATCGGCCTCAGCAGCGCAGAAGCACGTGAAATTTGGGACGACGGATGAAAAGAGTCACGAAGCGGCTACGGTTCGCCGCGCCGTCATGCGGCAGAGCATCGAGAAGGCGATGAGTCAAGCAGAGACGCAAAAGCCGACAGAGACGGTTCAAAAAAAAACACCCACTGCGTCAGTTGCTGAAATCCTCAATAACGAGAATAGCGACGGCAACGGCAAAGGGCACGCGTCGCCGGTGCGCGAGAGATTGGCGGTGTGGCGCGCCAAGCGGGCGCAACAGCAACAACAAAAGGAGCATGACGGTAATGATCCAGTCACTTCCTCCTACGGAGAAGCTGAAGGAAGCCGCGTGAATCACGGGCGTCCTGCTTTTTCCGATCCGAACACGGCGACCACAAAGATGACGTCTTCTTTAGACAATAAAATACCTTCACAGATATCGGAATGCGTGGCAGCCTCAAAAGGGAGTGGATTTAAAAAGGGTGGCCAGCCTGCAAAAGAAGTCGGGAATTTAGAAGAATCTGGGCAATGCCAGCAGGAGCAGCAGCATAATTCTCTTGAAAAAGATGTCTATGATGAAAGGCAGCGTCTGTTTCTAGAGGCCCATGAGGAGTTGCAGCGGGAGAAGGCAGCGGCGCTGCAAAAGGAACGTCTCGCACTCGAACAGGTGGCTCGTCTTCAAGAGGCGCAGCGGCGTGAGGAGGAGGAACGCACTAGGCTAGCGGCCGAGAGGAAAAGGCTGGAGCAGCAACGGCTAGAGTTGCAGAAGCGGGTCCTTGAGCGCCAACGTGAACTCCTGGCAAAGGTCGAAGAGGAGGCGATGCAGCGGGAGCTGGCAGCACAATTAGATAACTTTTTTGAGAACAAGTCGCGGCTGGAGCAACAGGCGCAGGAAGAGCGTCAACGTGTATTATCCTTTGAGGATGCCATCGCGGAATCTCTTTTGGAGAAAGCGGTTAAAAACCACACTACAACTCCAAAGAAGGAGCGAATTATCGATCTTCGCCTTCTCGAGGAAGGCGACGAGGACAACAATAACCGGCATGGCGTGTCGGGGAGGGAAGAAACTTGCAAAAGCCGCAATTCCAAGGAACGTCAGGATTTTCTTCAACAAAAGCGCCAAAAGGAACAAAAGCAACAGCGACGTGAGCGCATCACATACAGTCCATCCCTCGTTTACGTTGGGGATGTGACGGGTGGGGAATGCAAGACGCCAGTTTTCTTACAGCGTCAAGGACGTGGCACCTTTTTCTACGACATCGCGCAGAAGCATTTCTTTGACGGTGAGTGGTCCGGTGACAAGAGGAACGGCAGTGGGGCTCTCTCCCTCCCGCACGTTGCTGTGGAGGGAACATGGCGTGATGATGTGCTTGAGGGCAGTGCGACATTTCAAACCAGGCGGTTAAAGGGAAAAGGGGAGTTCAAACAGGGCGTTCTTGACGGAAATGCCGTCGTTGAAATTGACTGCAATGGCGTTTTTGCTGGGAGTGTTAAGAAAAATGGGGCTGTTGTGGCTTCTGGAGCCGTCACGCTTGCGTCAGGTGATCACGTGGAGTGGATAAGAGATGAAAACAGTAGCGAAAACAACAACAACAACAACAACAGGCAGCAGACGTCTGCACATTCCAAGAACTTTAATAATGGCTCTGGAAGGTGCCGTATTCGATTTGAAAACGGCGACGTGTATGTTGGTGAAGTTGAGAATTATCAACCAAATGGGGCTGGAACCTACCGCTTTGCCGCAGAGGGTCAAGAGTACGTGGGGAATTTTCAAAACGGCCGGCTGCAGGGTCGTGGTACATATCGTTTTGCCAATGGAAATGTGTACATTGGACAGTTTTACAAGGGGCTCTTTCATGGGGAAGGACGGTACGTGGAGCAAGACGCATACACATATGAGGGGTTCTGGGAGTACGGTACGGCGCACGGAAGAGGGAAATTGATATTTGCCAATGGTGACGTCTGGGAAGGAGAATTTGACCACGACCGGCGTGTCAATGGACACTACACGGCTTCACGTTTGTTTCAGTTGTAGCGAAATTTATTCCCAAATTTTGTTGCCCGTCCATTTTTTTTTTTGTTTTTAGATTTTTGTTGAGGGTTCTCCGCTGCCCCACAAGAAATTGTCATGATTTTCTTCTCCGTCTTTGTGTCCGTGTGTGCGCTGTTCTTGGGCTTCAACTGGGCGTATTTCTTGGACACATTGCCTTTACCCTCTTTTGGCTTTTTTTCTTCCTTTTTTTTTTTTCTCTTTTCGCTGAAGTGGAGTTTGACTGCTCGGTTGTTGTAACTCATTCTCCGGATGCATGTTTGGTAGGTGTTGTTTGTGTGTCTCTCTCTGCATCTGCTGTTGCTGCTACTCAGCGCGTGCAGATTGTTTTTATTTTTATTTTTTGCCTCTCTCTCTCTCTCCCTCCCTCTATTTTTGTATGCACATACATTTTTAGTGCACAGGTCTTCGTTGACAGCAGCAGGGCCAATCGCTTCACAGCCATAGGCCGAGAAGCCGGATGGGCTACACACGTGAGCGCACCCACCGTCACTTCTTCGTCGCGCGGGCAAATGCCTTTTTTTCACGGCTCCCCATCGCCCGTATTCAGCGATCGCTGGCGTTGGAGGCAATCAAGCAAGGGCGCATGAAACCGTGGAAACACACAAAGGAGCAGATCCTTGGCGCTCCAATAACATGCAACTTTGACTACAACCCGCGCCCAGTACGACTTATTGGCACTGTTATGGACGCCCATACGGAAGAGACAAGTATCAAGGGTGGTCTGAAGGTCTACGCGCGTAACGAGGAGACGAACATGATGTTGTGGATCCCTGTGGGAAACCCAAAGCTGAAATATGAAGTGACAGCCACCAAAGGAAGCTTTCAACACTACCTGGACGAACGGGATAAGTGGGATGAGGCATGGCTTACGGGTCGCGCAAGGATGAAGTAGACAGATGGAGGAAGGAAACATCTTGGAGGAAGGCGGGGGGACACACACACACACACACACACGCAAACACACACTCCGATGAACAGGACAGAGGCGTCTGTTCTTCTTCTGCTCCCATTTTTCGTTGTTGTTGTTTTTACTGAATTTTCTGTTGTATCTGTCCGTCTCTGTTTGTGTATATTTTTTCTTCTTCTTTTTTGCTCTCTGCTTGCTGACATTATTACTAATATTATCACTGGTAATGGTGATGACGTCCATGCGTCCTGGATATCTTATCTCCACTTCTCTTTTTTTTTTCCCCCTGCACCATTTCTCTTGTACATAGCTCGAGAAATACGTGGGCGGGTGTGTGGGTACATCGTTGGCTTCTAAAAGGGAAAAGACAACAACAAAAAAAAAAAAAAAGGAATCAAAGACGAACAGCGAGAGGAGTGACGGATTGACTGCACCGCACAATTGAGTTGTTCATCTCGATTCATATAAAATTTGTACTATATTTTTGTCTTCAATAGTGAAGGAGGAAGATCGACGAAAACGGAAACAGGGGAATAACAGCTGCGGCAAGGCCATAACGCGAAACCACGAAGAGGGAGGCGGAGGCGGAGGGATCCAAATCATGCCGGCGACAGATATGCAGTCCATGGAAATGGACATGGTGCAGGGTATGTACGACTCGTATGAACTCATTAGTGTGGACCCACCGACGTACTCCGTTCTTCTTACCGCCACGGCGGATGACCCACCGGAGTTGCGCGTGACGATTGTGTATGACTCAGAGGGATACCCAGAGACGGCTGCCCCCACTGTCCGTCTGGAACACATTGCCAAACATCGTCGCATGCAGACGGCGACTCTTGCCAAAGAGATTGAGGACCTTTGCGCGGAACAGATCGGCATGCACAGCGTCATTTCTGTCCTTCAGAAAGCCCAGGAGTACCTCACAGATTATGCGGCAATGGAAGAAAAGGCGGAGCTGCAACGACGCGGGGACGCGTTGACAAAAGCCGCTGCCAGTGCATCTACGGCCGCGCCAGATCCCACAGTACGCATCGGAACTGCCGTCACACGTGAGCTTTTTGCTGGATGGAGTGAAAAACACATAGCGGAAAAGCTGCAGAAGCGGGTTTTGAGCGAAAAGAAGAGCACAAAACTAACGGGTCGGCAGCTGTGGGATGGCACACTCAAGAACGCTGACTGGGATCTTTTTGAAGCCTTAGAGGACGAGCAGGACATTGACTTATACACTCTGGCCAATGGGGAGGGGGAGGAGGTGGACGAGGTGGAGTACGATTTAGATGACACGGCCGAAGAGGGATGAGTTGTGCAGGCCAGAGTCAAAATGAGGGAAGGAACATCGTGTGTAAACGTTGAGGGGCGTGTTGCGCTGCGGCGCGGGGGCCATGGAGGAAAGGGAGGTGAGGTGGCGGTGAAGAAGAAAAGACAGGCAAGGCAGGCGCAGAAAGAAAAGAGGTGTCAAGCTGGAATAGAGAAATACGGAGAAGTCTCTATTCACACATAAGTTACTAATGAATGTTCTCAGATGTGTGTCCTTCCTGACGGAGGGTAAATGTTAAAGTTTGAGTGCAGGTACATTGGGATTTTTGTTGATTTTCTTTTGAATTTTGTCCGTTTGCGTTTTGCTTTTTTTATTCAATAGCCTTTTATTCTCTTCTTCTTTTTTTTTTTTCTGTCTGTGTGTGTGTGTGTGGGGGGGGGGGGGGGGGGAGAAGTGAGGGGTTGCTAGAAGTGCAATGCGGCAGTCTGCATTGGCTGTTTTATTGCCGCTTTTGCAACGGCACGCACAGTCCATTCCTCGTCGTCACTTTAATGTCATCCAACGAGGTAACGATCGCGAGGTGGAGTCGCTCTTTGCACTGCTTGGCTTTGGAAAAGAAAGCGAGGTGGAGCGCGTCCATCGTACGCGTGATGAACTTCGTCAGGGCTACTTGCGGGAGGCAATGAAGCTTAAGGACCCACAGCGTAACGCGAAGGATGCGGCGAAGCTTGCCGATCTTCGGCGGGCGTACACTCTACTCTCCGATGACCAGTTTCGTGCACGCTACGCGAGTCACCACTGCGTCTCACCCGACGCCACCCTTCACGTCCATGTCGACGGCGGTCAGACAGCGGCAAACTTCAACCCTGAGCATCAGTCGTTTGAATTCGTTGACCACGCAATTTCTTTTTCCTCATCGTCGCTGTTATCTTCCTGTGCGCAGCGGTCTTTTGGTGACTTTACGGGACCGTTTCAGTCCGCGACAGGGGTTTACAGCAGCCCAGCGGACGCACATCCATACCAGCCACGTGAATCCAGCACCCCACAAAACGGGAACGGCATTAACTTTATGCTCCGGATCTCCTTTGATGAAAGTATCCTTGGCTGCACAAAGTCAGCTGTGTATGAAAAGGATATCACTTGTTCTCATTGCAGCGGCGACGGTCGGCAGGTTTTAAATAGGCCACGTAAATGTCCACAATGCCGTGGTCGTGGTTCCACGCATTTGCCGAGTGCCACGTATCATATCGAACGTTCGTGTGGGTACTGCGGTGGAAAAGGTGTGGCACCGCCACCGAAATGTGGGAGATGCGGAGGGGCTGGTGTTATAAGGGGGCATACCGTAAGTGTTCCTATAGACGTGCGTCCGGGCACAACAACGATGACAGTGAGGCGGTTTCGGGGTAAAGGACACGATGGGGTACGCGGTGGTAACGCAGGGGATCTCATAGTGACGGTTTTGGTACAAGAGCACCGTCTTTTTCATCGCGATGGAATTGATCTTCACATGGTGTTGCCCATTCCGCTTTCTGTAGCGCTGCTTGGAGGCGTCGTGTCGGTACCAACTCTGCACGGAGCTCAAACGCTACGCATACCTCCGTGCGTAAGAAATGGGCAACGGCTGACCATGGATGGTCAGGGCGTTTGTCTTGACGGCGAAAGCGACGCCGCCGAAAAAAACGAATTAGAGGCGTGTGAAGGCTCAGCGAACCCAAAACAGCAACATTGCCAGCAACAGCGTCGGCGCGGCCATCTGTACGTCCACCTGCTGGTGGTTATCCCAAGGGGGGAGGAATTGACAGGGGCGCAGAGGTGTGCCTTGGAGAGCTTCGCTGCCGAAGGGGAGGGTGGAATCAACCAGGAGAACGGGGAAAAAGGGGAGCAGGAGACACCGGCATCTTTGAAGCAGCGCTTTCGACACTGGATGACGAGTCTATAATAATAATTACAGCAGTGGATGCATGCAGCCCTGCAGACAGCATCGCATGCCCAAAAAAAACTGTATGTGTTTTACTTTTAACTGTGCTTCAATTTTATTTCCAGCCGCCCAAAGTACCCTTTCACGCCGACGTTCATATTACAACACCAAGAATACTCACACGGCTGGAGTAAATGGAACTGCACTCTGTGCAAATAAAGGTGCTAGTCAAAAGATAGTGCAGGTCATTTCCACACCGGCATTGTGGCTTATGCCGCCGTTGGTTTGTGGATGCCGTGCCGTGTGACCCGGGGGGAGGAGAGCGCACGATCGCGACAGACGTGGGTGTGTTGTGACGGGCGACCGCTGCCGACTTCCCCGTGCTGTGCCTGTTGGGTGGGTTTTGCCCCGGTTGCGTCTTCACTCGCCGTTATTCCTTCTGTGTTGGCTGGTTTGGATGTGCCTGCTAAGGGTGTCTTTGTGCGACTGTCGTGATGCTCTCACTGCCTGCTTTCTGCACCCCACCCCCTTTCTGTTTCCGCCCTCGTTTCTTGTAGGTATCGCCCCTGCCTCCCTTTGCCCGCCGCCGTGCGGGCTGGCCTTGCAGCTGCGCAGTGATTAGAGACTGGATGTACTTGTCCTCCACCGACGTGCGCAGCGTGCACGCAAACTGATGCAGAAGAGCATCCGCATGATCGGCGCTTCCTCGCTCCCACCCCTCCCCCTCTTCTCTGCGGCTGCTCCCGAAAGGGCCTGTTGAGTGGGATGCCACGCTTTGACGCTCGCGGGACCGTCCCAATTGAAGTGCCCGAGAGCCAATGCTGTATCGCGCCTCACTGTTGGCTGCGGTATTTGTGTGGGTCTTTGGAGCACTGTGTGTGTATTTGTGGGTCTTCTGCTCCCATTAATTGTGATTTTGTGTTGAAGTGAATAGAATGAAAGTTTTTTGTTGGTTTTTGTATTCCCACGATACCGGGAGCTTTTGCGTGCGTGGACTACAGGCAGAACAGTTTTCGTTTTTTGAAATCCCACATTCTTGTCGTGTGTTGCGTGCTATCTCCTTTTTCTTGTGTTGTGTTAAGGACATATACTGACGCTTAGATACAGAATAACCGGCTGTTTGTTTGTTTGTTTTTGTAACGATACAATGGTCGCAAGGTCCATGGCCACAGGTTCGTCGTACTACCTTCCCTCACCCTCGACGCGTTTTCTTGACTCCAACGACAGAATTAAGTTTGTTGTTGTAACGGGCGGAGTCTGCAGTTCGCTTGGAAAAGGTGTTACGACCTCTGCGACCGGGGCCCTGCTGCGCGCACAGGGCTACCGTGTGTGTAGCATTAAGATTGACCCTTACATCAACATGGATGCAGGATTAATGAGCCCCTTCGAGCACGGCGAGGTGTATGTTCTTGAGGATGGAGGCGAAGTAGACCTCGACTTGGGTAATTATGAGCGCTGGATGTCCGTTTCTTTAGGGCGTGATCACAACATTACGACCGGTAAAGTGTTTCAGAAGCTCATTGAGAAGGAGCGTGCCGGTGGATTTTTGGGGAAGACGGTGCAGTTAGTGCCGCACTT